GGGCCGCGCGCTCGTCCGCTTGCTGGTTGGCAAGCTCCGCGCGCCGGCGGCCCCGGAACGCCCGGTAGGCGAGGCCACACCCTCCCCCAGGAGGCCACGCCCCCTTCCGCGCTTCCCCGGCCCACGCCCTCTAGCTGGCGCCACCCAGATGGAGAGGAACAGCGCGGCCCTCCCCAGGAGACCAGTGGGAGGATCGAGGGCGAGCAGCCGCTCCGGATGGAATACTGCAGTGACCGCACCGACAGCGTGGGTGACCCTGCCCCGGGCTGCTGTGGGGCACAAGAACCCTTTCGCTTTACAGAGAGATTAAGCTCAGGGTCAAGTTCTGACTAAAAGTGTCAAGAAGTCTTTTTGCAATCTCCTACACAATTGAAGGAGATTCTGTGCCCTTTAAAGGAGATAGTAACTAACATTATAGAGAGCTATACGTTTTATAAACGGCTTTCACACACAGGCTCATCTCATCTTCACAGTAACTTTCTAAAACAGACAAATTATTGCGGCCATTTCCCAAATAATGAAACGGAAGAGTTGAAAATAAGTATAAAGTATTTTGCCCAATATCACAGGCTAAAAACAATGGCATGGGAAACCAGGTCTCCTAACTCCAGCCTCCTGGTTCTTTCTCTTCACCAGCCCAACCCCAGAAAATTCTAGTGGGTATATGGGCTTTGGCAAACAGATCCAAAAGAGGAAGGGAAACCTAATGTCTGGTTAAGTTGCTACCCGATCCCTTTTACCAACATACCAGGAAAGCACCACGCCGAGTTCTTTGCCTCTCTCACCGTCATCCCCGAAAGAGATGCAGAAAGATTGCATCAAATGGCCCAGACAGGCTTTTTCCCCCAAAATCTTAATGGTTTAAAATGGGTGAAATTATTTGGATGAAGAAAATCCCCGTACTCAAATGCAATGTGAATGTAAATAAATGTAGTGTATGAAAATAACCTCCTTCCGTGCCCTTTATGTTCTTTCCCCTTCATTTTTTACTTTTTTGTTGTTGTTGCTTTGCCCCTCAAGACTCCTTCATCGTCTACATGAATATTGTTTGAAAACCTAATCGATAGATCTTTGCATTTCTAAATTAAACTCTTGGCTACTTGACTTAATTTCCCATGGATTGTTTTCCAAAATACAACTTCTCTCTAAGCTTCTGTGATGATAGCGATTTGATTTACCTTAACATCTAAAATAATTAAGGTGCCCCTGATGAGGTCTGGTGTGCCTCCAGATGAAACCTTTGGCAGTCTTCCCTGGACAGCGTGAGACAGGAGTCACCCCTGATAGATGTATGTTTGCACATTTCTTAAAGGTTTCTAACAGATTGATATCTATTCTAATCATAACAAATATTTTAATCTTCTTGTTATGGAATTAATGCATCTCACTGTAAAATATACATCAGCCTGGTCATCATTTATAATCTGAAGGTTTTGAACTATATTCAATATCTTGTAATACCCTATAATGGAAAAGAATCTGAAAAAGAATATATATTGGGAAAACTGGACAGCAGCATGTAAATCAATGTAGTTAGAACACTCCCTTGCACCATACACAAAAATAAACTCAAAATGGATCAAAGAATATATATACGTATAAATCACTTTCTTGTACACCTGAAACTAACACAACATTGTAAATCAAATATACTTCAATTTTTTTTTAATCTGAAGGTTTTTACCTCTCCTATCTGAAACTTTTTCCTATTTTCTGTTCCTTATCCTATAATACTTCCTGATACATTCAAACTGTATTCAATTTAGTAAATGATGTCGACAAAGTTTGATCATTTTATTTTACTGCTTTTGGAACTGAGGGATGTAATTTTGTAAAACTTTTTAGTTGAAGATGGTGCAGCTTTGGTTCAAAGAAATCATTCCATTTATAGGAATATTTTTAACTCAATGTGCTGGGTGACGGGCCATATCAATGACAAAGACAGAACTCCTGTTCTCCTGAGATGCCAGAGCCTTGTGGAATCAGGTGAATAAATAATTTGAATGCACACGTCTATTGATTAATTCCAGAAAGGTGCTAAGTTATTTTAAAACACGTAAATTAAAACTAATTTTCTTATACTAAATAAAGAAAAAGCAGATAGTCATTCCAGTGAGTTTTTTTTTAAGACGCTTTTCTGCCTTTTCTCCAGGTTACATTATATAAGCGGTTAATAAGCAGGCTACTTTAAATAATGATTATACCATATGTAAATTTTCCAAAAAAATGACAAAAAAGAAGAGTAATCATGCAATAGAGATGCAGAGATATTTCACTTTATTAGCTATAATTTCCTCTATCTTCTTTATTATAAGAATTCTTAAATTACATTTTTAGCTCACTCAATGAAATTCTAGCACTTTCTTAATCCTGACAACCTGGTCACTTATTTCTGATTATGTTTCCTGCTGAGGTGAAGCATGTCTCTGACATCAGTGATCTTTTCCACAACAGAACTGGAAAAAAACTTTTTTCCCCTTAATACAGCTATGGTACTTTTTCAGCTGCCTCTTCATGTAAGGACTCCTGGGATGTTAGTTACCTGGCAATTTTCAGCCATGGTTTTACTTAAATTTTGAAGACAAACAAGTGAATCCCCTGGGTCTCATAGACACTCATGGGCTGTATTCTCAGAGCTCCTGAACTGTACAAGGGGGCAGGAACACATGTTAAGACTGAGACTCGTGGGGGGAGGAAATGTGCCTGCATCACCACCCTGACAACCTCTTGTTTGGCCAGCCTGAAGTACTCCTAAATTCTGCAGTCAGCAAGACCTGAGTATTTTAAACCAGCAGTTTAAATTATGTTATTCCGAAACTACTGCATGTATGTTTCAAAGAGAATGAATTTCTTCAAAGTGTAAAAAAATCCTTACCAAATTGGTAAATAAAACCTAATCAAATTCTAATCAGAGCATAAAACTTGTGAAAAAAAAAAGCAACCAACCCAGAGTTGGTATAAAGCGGTGTAGATGAGGAGAGGAGGCCAGCGAGGAGAGAGGAGGGAGGATTGGCCTAAGCCAGGTAAAGGGCAGTGGAGGAAGGGCCACTTCCCAAAAAAGAACACAAAGAGAGAGGGGGAGTAGGACCTCCAGGCAAAGATTACGATGAGAAATAAGACAGGAAAGGGCAACTGGAAATTGATGGTGAAGGGCCCTATGTGCCAACCTAGGGAGTTTTCTTTTCATCCTAAGTGCACTGGGTAGGAGACTGATTTGATCAGGTTGCATTTAGGACTACTGTGGCTGCCATATGAAAATCAACAGGAGACAGGAAGGCTGTGGAAGAAGTGTGGAGAACTGGGCAGAGACTGTAGGCAGACACAGAAACTCCTAGTTTTACATCTTTCTTTGGGAGGCAGATAAGCAAATGTAAACCTGCTATCTTTTGCTGCAAGAAGAAATAAATGCACAATTATTATAATTAAAATTCATGTATTTTATCATGAACACTTTGTGGAAAACATGGTTCCTAGTGACCTGACATCGCTTCTTCAGTACAATATGTTTCAGATTGTGTGTGAGTTTTTACTTATTGCTACTACACACCACTTCCCAATCCCAGTGGAGATTATGAATATTTTTTAGTCATGTGATAGTACTGTTAAATTAATTTCATATTTAAAGTAGTAACTTGGAAAATTGCAGTGAATCTGGAGCAAAAGAATATGAATACAAATCCATATTTTTCTCTAAAGAAATAAACTTAGGGGTTTAACTGAATGTCTACAATTTACCAGACATTTCACACATATATATTTTTTAATCCCCTTGAAAACATTTGCGTACCTCTAGTTAATGTATAAAGGAGGAATCAACTCAGAGAAATAATTCATCTCTATTATGATTATATAGCAAATAAATAGCAGTGACAGTATTTGAACTTAGCTCTTTTGTGGCTCAAGGTTATGTTTTTACCACTATCAGCATTAGATTAGTATAAATATCCAAACTATATCCCAACCGTAATGTCTATTACACTTAAATCCACATCAGCAAGCCCAAGGGAGTTAGCAATGGGTTTTCATTCTGACAGTTACATCTGGAGGGTTAAATAGGAAGATGATAAATAAACTGAGGGATTATGGGAAAGCCAAATAGTTGGAAAATGAAAAAGAGAAAGAAATAACATGCAGAGCCAGAATATAAGAGCCAAGTTATGGTCCCCCAGTGGGAGCAGGACTGGGGGTAAAAGCACCCTACTGAATGTCTCAAAGAGGCAGAAAAAAATGGCTACAGTAGTTTATCAAAGTGTCATCAGAAATAACTAGAGCTTTGAAAAAATCTGTTTCTTCAGGCAAAGAGCTTTGTTTAAAGGAGGCATTACAGGCTGAAAAGCAATCTTAGGAACAATTTTGGGGTGGACCTGCAAATTTAGAGGCTATTGCTAGGAAAGGAGAATTTAATAAATAGTTTTTTAAAATATGAAGTACTACAAGTAAAACACCAATAATTAATATGTATAAAAGTTAAATGATATTAAATATGAGTGTCAAAAAAAAAAAAGAGAAAATCTCCCTAAAGACTATGGCACAACTTTAAG